TTCCCGGGCGAACTCCTGGTCAAGCTCAGGACTTTGGGTGGGAGGTCTGTAGTAGACTCCCACTGTTGTGTCCCTTGTGCCATGTTCCCCATGAATTTTAACCCAGAGGGTCTCTAGCTGTCCACCCTGGTCGCCAATATCAGCTTGCAGGGACATGTAGCTTTCCTTAACATAGAGAGCTACACCCCCGCCCCTTTTATCTACACGATCCCTCCTGTACAGGGTATAGCATCTATACCCACGGTCAAGTCATGGGTGGAGTCCCACCAGGTCTCCATTATCCCAATGACATCATAATTCTTTGCACTGAGCAGGAGGACGAGCTCCCCCTGCTTGTTCCCCAGGCTCCTGGCATTTGTGTACAGGCAGGCAAGTGCCCCCTTGGGGGCTCTTGCCTTGCCCACAGATTGTACCAGGGCTGGGGCAAGGGTGGGCTCCCTTAAGTGCCTTGGTCTGCTGGCCTTGCTTGCACTGGATGCCAGCCCTTCTCTGTATTTGAGTGGCCAGGATTCAGGCAGTTAATAGCACTTCTGGCCCCATTTTACAAAGTGCCCCCATGCACCACCTTTAGCAGGACAGTGCTGCCCTCCCTGTATGAGGCATGCAGGGGGTACTTGAGGAAGGAGCTGTACAAGGGCTGCAGGTAGCCTTACACTTCACCTCCGACATCTGGAGCATTTGGGGTGGTGATCATGCCTACCTCTCCCTCACAGGGCACTGATGTGATCAGTCAGGCCATTGGTGGGCTCTACTGCAAGCTGAGGTGCTGGATGAGTCCCACACAGCAAGGGAGATCATGGGGGCCATGAACCATATGGTGAAGGGGTGGCTTGTTGGGCAGGCTGAACTCACCCACGGGTTCATGGTCACTGACAATGGGGCCAATATAGTGAAGGCTGTCCATAATGCCAACTTTGTTGGCATCTGCTGTGTGGCACATAGGCTGTACCTCATAGTGAGGGATGCCTTGGAGGGGGACAGGGCTGCCAGTGATGGCATCGCCACCACTACTGCTACAAGCCATCAAATTTCAAAATGCAGGAAGGTGGCGGGCTACTTCCACTGCAGCATCAAGGGGGGCAAGACGCTGTGGGAGAAACAGGCAGAGCTCAGCATCCCACATCACAAAATCATACAGGATGTGGAGACTTGGTGAAACTCCACATACCTGATGCTTGAAAGGTTGGTGGAGCAACAGAAGGTCATCCATGAGATGGCCTTGCTTGGGGGGATTGGGATCAGCGGCCCCCTGAACAGAGCTGAAGGGGTACCATCTCCCAGATCTTGGTGGTTCTCAAGTCCTTCTTTGAGGCTACTGCGACCCTTAGCACTGGCGACGCCCTCCTCAGCCAAGTGATCCCCCTAGTGAGGCAACTGGAGAGCCAAATGGAGAAGTTGCAGGGGATCAATGTTCCTGGCTGGGGCAGGCCACTGTCACCAGACTTGCAGGCACTGGTGAGGCAGATGAAGGAGGGCATCAGATGGCTGTATCCCTTACAGTCCAATACAGTCCACATGATGGTGGGCATGTGTGACCTGAGGGTGAAGGGGAGCATGTGCACTGGCAGCCCCAAAACCCTTGATCACTGGATGCAGGTGCTGGTAAAAAAAGTCAGGGAGGCTGAAGTGCAGAGGTGAGGGGATGTGGAAGAGGGGATCCACTTTCCCGTGCCAGCTCTCCCACTACCAGCACCAGAGCCAGCACCAGCACTGGTGCCAGCTCCAGCCAGTCTCCTCCATGCCAGCCACTGACAATGTGCACCATGGCATGGCTTCCAAATGCACAGGACCCCAGCCTCAGGCAGGTAGCACCAAGACTTCAGTGGCTACCTATCTCACTGAGGATGTGGAGCCACTGGACCTTACTTGCCCAGTAGGCCAAGTACCTCTTAGCCTACTGGGCAAGCTGCAGGCAGATGTGGCAGGATCTTGCCATGGTTGCCTGGCAACACCTGTCCTGTCCACCAACCAGTGTTCCAAGTGAGAGGGTGTTCAGCATTGCTGAGGATGTTGTAACACCCCACTGCACCTCCTTGGATCCTGCTTTGGTGGAGCAGCTGGTGTTCCTAAAGGTGAACCTCCCGCTGCTGGGGTTCCCCAAACTCCACCTGCAGATTTACTGAGTGCCACCCTCCTCACTCCGTCTGCACCAATTTCCTTATTCTGAGTTTTTTAAAAGCTAAGTAATGCCCTGCTCTCAGCTGGAGGGAGCACTAACTGCATCACCAGCTAGCAGGGGAAGAACATGTCCCTGCTGAGCTCATTCCCCTGCCAGAACAGACTTGGAAGTATGGGATTGGGGCTATGGGGAAGGAGGAGGCCTCAGGTCCTGGGCATTACTACTAAAACTGCACCCTGCCAGGGTAGGGAGGTGTGGTGGGACTGCTGATGGCATGGCAGCCCAGCAAATGCCAGGACCAATGATCCCCTTGTGAAAGGTGGGTAGGAGGCACCATAACCCCCAGCCAATACGGGCTGCAGAAAGCCCTGGCTGGGGAATGCCCAAACCTGTCATGTCTTTGACAGGCCTGACACTTGCTGGTTGCAGTGCAGTTGTGAGGCTCCCAGTGAGCTCAGCTTAACTGCCCAGGATGCCAGCTTTAGGGCTGAAAACCCCTTTGTCAGGCTGAGGAAGTACCTGCAGTTGGTCCTAGATGGAAGGAATAATAAAGAAGCCAGAGGCTGGCCTGGCCCGCAATGCAGGCAAGAAAGCCAGTCAGTGAAAATGGAAATGGAGGTGTCAGGGGGTGAGGGACAGGCTAGGTGGGGAGTAGGGGGGAAAGGGGATGTAGCAGTGCAGGTAGAAGTGCAGAGGAGCCTGGGGTGTCAGATGTCTGGCAGATCGCAGCGTGCCAGAACTCCACTATTGAGTCCATGAGTTTCTGTACCTACTACCTAGAAGGCTGATGAAGTGCAGTTCATAGGCCCAGCTCTGAAAAGTGGTTTCAATTGTAATTTGTTCCCTCTCAGGATCAGGCCTGAGAGACTGAAGGCAGAGTGTTTTTTTGGTGAGGAATATGCCCCCACAGGTAGTTGGGTTTTCTTGTCTTTGATAGATTCTGGTGTGCAATTTGTGGGTGTACTGGAGATAGTTGTCAGGTTTTGTGTTTTGAGCTGTAGGAAGCTGGCTTCAGTTCTGGTGATGAGGTTAGGTGCTTGTTTGAATGTACAAACCACTTTTCAGAGCTGGGCCTATGAACTGCATTTCATCAGCCTCCTAGTACAGAAACTCATGGACTCAATATACACAGTGGAATTCTGGCACACTGAGACCGGCAGGACATCTAACTCTCTAGGCACCTGTGCACGTTTACCTGCGCTGCTACATCCCTCTTTCTCCCCTACCCCCACTCCAGCCTGTCCTTCACCCCTTGATGCCTCCATTTTCACTGACTGGCTTCCTTGCCTGCATTGCGGGCCAAGCCAGCTTCTGGCTTCTTTACATCTAGGACCAACTGCAGGTACTTCCTCAGCCTGACAAAGGGGTTTTCAAGCCTAAAGCTTCCAAAGATACATTTTTTTAAGTACTCCTTGTTTTTCATAACACACATATAGACATAAAAACCCAAGATAAGCCATCACACACCATGAATAACATCATATGTCCAACACAACACAGCATCTTTACTTCTTGCTGCTAATTTCTTTATAAAAAGAGAGGCTCTGTGACAGTTCCCTTTGGGTACCTTTGATGCTGCTGCTGATGCTACTGGTGTTGAGCCAGCTAAGTTATTTTACCTGTTGTCACATAAAGTGGTGGACCAGGTGTGAGGCTGTAGGGGAGGAGGAGGTCTCACTGGGGCACACTGCCACGTTGTGCAGGGGCCCCAGCACCAGGAAGGGTGCACCTTAATACACACAAAATATCCCCCACCCACATCACGAGTTTTTCCTGTCAGCAGCTTGAGGTGCAGGGCTCCAGAAGTCACACTCCCCCAGTGAGACACACACAGCTAGCAGGCTTCATAGTCTGCCAGGGCCCAGCACCCAGGCCTGCATTAGATTCCACCCGTGTGCCACAGGACAGACGTAGTCGCCCAAGCACCCACCTACATCATGAGTTTTACCAGTCAGCAGTTTGAGGTGCAGTTCTCTCCAAACCCCTGCACTAATCTTCTTGAAACTTGGCATGCTTTGTGGCCTTACCAGGGGCTACCATCCCTGTGGTTTTCACCCACCTGTGATTTAAAACATAAACATGACATGAGTTTGGCTTTCAAGAATTTGGGATGAAATTCCCCCAGAACCCCTGCACCTATCTTCTTGAAACTTGGCAGCTATCATGCTCCCAGCAGCAGCTACCATCCCTTTAAGTTTCACCCAAATAAGAGACATAAAAGTAAAGTTATAGCTATTTCATTGATCCCCCATTATAGCTTATGGCAGATCTCTAAGGTGGATCTGAAGCTTCAGAACCACTTCGGCCGGATCAAAGCGGCAAACTGATCCGCAGCTCCAGACTGGATCGCTGACATCTGAAGTAGCCGGATCCAAAACTGGATCAGATACCTGACTACTCGCACAGGCCTACAAGAAACTAAGCCTGTGTGATAACTGATCCTCTATCAATAACTACGTTTTGACAGGCTACATGAAAATTTGACAAGAAAAGCAGGTTTTAAGAAGAGAATACATGCTGGAAGTACTAGGAAGCCAACCTGGGTATGCATGGGAGAATGCTACTTGCAGGTGTTGCATCTTTGCAAATAATACATTTAATTTAAAAGAAAGCATGTAGCTTTAAAAACATGGAGTCCTGCAATGTTAATACCCACCGTACTTCTCAAGAAACTCATGAAAAATACACTTGTGATATACATCTAGTATTTTATGCAAGTACTGGCATTTTTAGGCCACATGTACATGTGTTTCCACTTGCAAAGCTCAAGCATAGACATGTTCTCAGGGACTCAGGCTGAGAACCAACTGCAAAGGAAGCCAAAATCTCATGAAAAGATATTTTTAATTATTTTTCTAGTGCAGTAGTGCCTAAGAAGCTCATTCAAGGATCAGGTCTGAAGTAATAAGCAGTCTCTTCCACAAATAACTCACAGACCAGGTACAGACATTACACATAAATTGGTATAAGTGATCAGAAACTGGTTTACACCTATAACCAAGCACAAGCTCAGTGTACATAGACTGGCTTAAAAATGGCAGAACCCAGTCTAAGATAGACCTGGATTGATATGTTTTCAGACTTAATCAATTTAGGTCAGATTCATATATCAAACTTCTGTGCCAGATCCCCTACCGACTCAAGTTAGGTTGCTGTCTGCTGGCATCTCAAGCTGCTTTGCAGCCTTCCACTAACCCCCTCCCCTTGCAGGAAGATGCACTAGCAGCCGGCCCATGTTTGGCTGCTCTGGCCAAGCACCTAGCAAGCCCTGCCCCCAGGCCCTCACAAGGCCAAGTCAGTACAGCCCTTCTGCCCAGCCATGCCTCCTGCCTGTGAACATCAAAGCTGCCATTTTATTTATTTAGTTATTAATGTATTTAAGTACATCTGCCAATATTATTGCTATACCAAATTGCTAAAGCACATTTGCTGTCAAAATTGAGGTGGATTTAGGTTCTTTGCCTTCTACTTGATCAGATTATCTAGAGTCTTAATTAGTGGTAGCCTAAATTGTTAATCGATGTTCCATAAAAAATGAATTTTGTGAGCCAATTCAGGTCTGATGAAACATAACCTTGTGCTTAGCACCTTGGCTTCTGAGGTTGCTTGACAGCACCAGAATATACGTTTTAATTTCAAAATGTATTTTCTAGCCTTCCTTTTGTGGAAGAAAGGCTTGAAAATGTAAATAATGTATTCTTGATACTATGGTGCTTGCTTGATTCTGTAGAAATCTAGGAAAAAAAGCTGTTGGAAGCGGTTACTACTCCATTAATTTAAATGGATAGTTAATTCTGCAATCTTCTGCATATCAGAGAACAATGTAATAGGAGAGGCCTTACTATTGCCACTCCAATACCGCTTAGACTAGATCAGTGTTGACACAGTTCCCCAAGCAGAGTCCTGTGTTTCAATGCATGGTCTACTCCTCCTTGCACAAAGATAGATCCCTGAAGACAGGGCTAGGAAGCTCAGATTTTCAAATGGTGCTGAGTCTTATTTCTGGTTCAAGTGAATAAGAACAGTAATTTAGGCTTGGTTAAACTCCCTTAGATTCATACTCACTATTGATCTAACAGGCAGATCAGACTGCAGTTTGAGCCATCATCTCTTATTCAGGAAAGTATCACCTTAAAGCGACAGGAAAACTTCAGTCAAATCTTTCAAAAATTAAAATATAAAATGATATTAAAAAGAGAAAAAAGAAAAGTCTTAACCTACTGGACACTTTCTTAAGGAGTGTAACTTAACTAAAACTCCTGGTGTTTTGAACAAAAGCTATAGCAGTTTCACTAAAAAGCATCATCAAATGTACTATGGACTTTTTTCTCATTGAGTAGGTGTGTGGGGGAGAGGATGAAATAGATTCTGAACACTCATTTTTTAAAGAAAAGACTTAACTGTGGGTGTGAAATGCACACTTTAATACTGAAAAATCTGGGCCTCACCAGTGAAGTATATTGAGGATGCTGAAGTCACTAAAATGTCTTCTTTTTTTTTTGACTCCCAAAGGGAAACCTGGGGGAGGGGAGGGAGGGGGAAGCCTTGAAAAAGCTACACATCTGCACCATTACTTACAGACATCTAAAACACAATACATATCTTACCATGGGTAAAACTGAAGCCCTGTCTATCTGTACAGTAGGAAATGAGATGACAGAAAAGCTACCCATATTATGGATAAGTGGAGGTAAAGAAAACTATGTTCAGTGATGCCATAAACCTCGGTTAAGGAGGTTAAGAAGTGAAGTTGAACTCTTGTAGCACCAGTACCAATTTACCTCTCCTCTTGAACAAGAAAGAGGGAGGAAGAGACCTGTATCTTTATAAAATGCAATTCCCTTCCAGGTCTGCTACTGTACAGCTATGCACTGGCCTTTGAGCTTAAAGTAAGCTCATAATCTTCTTTATAATACTATTAACATTGTATAAATTGTTCCATGATGTATTAAATATATACAATGTCCTAGGGCTTCAAAGAGTGATAAGGTCGTAGAGCTACATTTGAAGCGCAGAAAATGACCAAGTGAACATCAAATGCACAGTTCAGTTTGTAACAATATGAGAAATATATTCTAGACAAGCAGGGCTGGAAGGGACCCACAGAGGCCATCTAGACCATACCACCCCACCACCCCACCCAAGTCAGGACCATCTCCACCCAAACCATCCCACACAATCCATAATCTAAACCCTTCATAAGAGAAGAACCTGAGGCCAGGGCAGTTATTAAAACCCTGCATTTATAAGATTTGCCCTGAGATCTTGAATATCAGACTTTTTAGACACTGGCCTCAATACTGGGATGTAATAATAAGTGGAATACTGCCCATTTAAGTAGGTTTTTCAAAATGCAAATGTCTCCTGGGTACCCAACCCACACTGAAAGAGACTAGGGTCTGCCCAGCTCCTTTGTAAAACCTCTACTATTTTTGCATATATAACATTAAAGAGCCAAGTTAATTGTGACTAGCAGCTGGCAGCTTTCTGTTCCTGAACAGAGACAGGTATGCGCAAAACTGTTCTTACAATTAGCTTACATTTTCACACATGTAAATTGGAAGGATTTTTAAAAAATGCAGGTCTTAATCTGTATCTCCATGGTTCCTGTCACTGGGGAATGTGTCCACCCTGAGCAGACAGGACCTTTATTTGTAAGGTTTCACCCAAAACTATCATACAGAGTAAAATGATTAGAATTCAGTTTCTCTGCATTGCAGGATCAAGGGCTGAGTCAACCCTGCTGGGATTCAACCCACGTTCCAGGGAGTCTATTTCATATCTGATGCTTAAACCTCTAACCAAATAAAATTTCTGCTGGGGGGATGTACCAGCGTGTGGTCAGATTTTATTGTGCTTCTAGCTGAAATTCATTTACAGGCTTTCGAAAGTACCACAGTATAAGCAGCACACACAGGGTTTGTGATGCTGAGCTATTTGCTGCTCCTGCCTGGCATTTCAGTGCACCCTCAACATAACGCTACCACATTATGCAGAATGTTTCTGTTTTATGCCCATTCAGTTTCCAGTGCTCAGGTGTTTATTTGTGAATATCTATAAAGTACTTTGTAACTGAAAAACATTTCATCATAGAACTGCTAACTGATGATCTGATGCTACTGTTAGTGCTGCTGAAACTCACAGAAAATTCACTTGAAAAACATCCTCAAGTCCACATGATGAGGAAAGGTCACCCAGGGGCAAATGTTTATAAAGAAAGAAGTAAATCAGAATGAAATTATGGGTTTTTCTAATGAAGATTCCAAATGTCACCAGAGTTTTAAGGAATTTTTTATTATTATTATTTACTGGAGCTGATATGACTATTAAATAAGTCAAAGGCAAATCAACATAGGGAATAATTTAAAGCAACACAATGAAAAGTATTTCCCCCTAACTGATATTAAACAGTGTAATAGGGATTTCAGCCACCCCTCCAGTTAATTTGTTTTTGCATGGGGCTGTGGAATTTGAAACTCAATGAATTTAAATGATTCAAGCTTTAGAGCTGAGTGGGCGGCTATAGAGAATACAGGGACCGCTGTAGTTTGGGCTCTGACTGCCTTAAAGATAGTATGATTCTTAAAGCAATATGGCTTTCTCTTGTTTAGTCAGTAGGGCTGTGTGAAATTTCAGTGACCGTTTCATTTCATTTTGGATTTGGATGTTTTGGCAGCTGAAATGCCAAATTCAAAATGAAATGCAAAGCTCCAAAACAGATAGGAAATGAAACAGATACATCTGAAACGTTTCAGAAATGCTTCAGAAATGTTTTGGATGTTTCAGACTGTTTCAGAGGTGGGCTTGCAGGGAAGAGAAACTAAGAAGAGGGAGGGGGAGAAGGGAGGGAAGGACTCTGATATTGACATCTGTAGCTGGCCAGTGACAACAATTTGTCCCTGAGGTCCCTTCCAGTCCCAGCGCTCTGGGGGAGGGACAGAGAAGCAATATAAAAGGCTGTTTGTGAACTGCTCTCTGCCTTTTTGCAGCTGAGTCTGTATAGCAACAGGAGCAGCAGCAAAAAGCAGCATCTATAAGCTTGCAACTTGGTAGTGCCTTCCCACCAAGTTGTAGCCAATCCTTTCCTACCCTCCCTACTGTTATTCCTTGCAACTCTTTCTTCCCCTAAAATCTTGTTATTTGTTCTTCTTATTTTCCCCCTCCCCCTACCCAAACAGAAAGAAAGCAGTGGTTTTCCTGGCAGTGGCTTATCACTGTGCACTGCAGGAAAGCATTACACATACATTATACACACACTTACACAGACACACATTTTTTTCCAGCACACAAAATATGAAGTGTGCTGGAAAGGCAGGTGCCAGGTCTTCTGGCAGAGAAGCCAGAGGGGACAGAGGGAGAGCTTTAAGTTCCCCCACACCCTCTTTCCTAGCACTAGCAGGCATGAAGCTTCTGATGCTAGTGGCAGCAAGGAGGTAGGATCAGTGCCTGCATCTGCACCCCCTCCAATAACACTTGCTATCATAATAACCCCCAGCAACACCAGTATGACAGTCTCCCCCACCCTCATTTCATTTCCCAGCCTGAGCCTTCCAGTGCCAGAGGAGGAGCTGGATCTGGAAGCAGGGGACCTGAGGGCCCTAGCAAAAGAAATTCTGGAGACCAAGGAGGAGTCTGAGTTTGTGCTCCACTCACTCCAAGTTCCCCTAGAGCCAGGTCTCCTTCCCTGGAAGGCAGTTCAGAGGAGGCTGAGGTTGTGGACGCAAGTGGCTCAGCTGAGTCAGCTCCTCCTGTTGTTGTGCCTGTGCCTGCTTAGTAGGGGGATCAGGCAGGATCCGCACCTGCACCCCAGAAGTGAGGGGGTAGTGTCATGTGGGATCATTTTGAGGTGGCAGATCCCACATATGCTATCTGTCTGCACTGCTGATGTAAAACCAGCTGGGGCAAGGAGGTGAAACCACGGGGATGCTGATGCATCTCAGGAGGCACCACCCCCTTGCCCTTGCTCCTCCTCAGCCTGGCACCAGTGAGAGTGTGCCCCAAAAGAAGTTCCCCTCTTGCTCCAAAGCCCCCATCCCCAAGAAGCAGAGGCAGGCCACCCTGGAACAGTGGGGCAAAGGTGGACAGAAAGGGGGGCATATTGCAAAGGTGAGCGAGATCACCCAGAGCATTGGGAAGAAGTTTCCTTTGGATGGCCAGCCCTTCTCCTTATTTGATGGGCCAAGCAGGTCATGGTGCTTGTAGCCCAATCCTACCAAGTGCCTGCATGCACCACCTTCAGTATGATGGTGGCATCTCTAAGGCATGCAGGGAGTACTTGAGGGAGGAGCTGTGCACTTCATCTCAGACATTTGGAGCAGCTGGGGTGGAGATCATGCCTACCTGTCCCCCACAAGGCACTGGTGCCATCAGTCAGGCCATCAGTGGGCTCTCACTCAGGCCGAAGTGATGGATGCGTCCCACATGGCAACGGAGATCATGGTGGCCAGGAACCTCATGGTGCAGGGATGGTTCATTGGGCAGGGCGAGCTCACCTGCAGGTTCATGGTCACTGACAATGGGGCCAATATGGTCAACGCGGTCCGTGATGTCAACTTTGTTGGCATCCACTGTGTGGCACACAAGTTTCACCTCATTGTCAGAGACACCTTGGAGGGGAGCAAGGCTGCCAGTAATGGTGCTGTCACAACTGGCCAACTCATTTTGAAATGCAGGAAGGTGGCAGGCTACTTCCACCAGAGCATCAAGGGAGGCAAGAAGCTGAGGGACAAACAGGCAGAGCTGAATGTCCTGCAGCACAGAATCATCCAGGATGTGGAGACTTGGTGAAGCATCCATGTACCTGATGTTCAAGAGACTGGTGGAGCAACAGAAGGCCATCCATGAGATGGTCATGATGGTCCTCAAGCCATTCCTCAAGGCCACTGAGACTGTCAGAATTGGGGATGCCCTTCATAGCCAGGTGATCCCCATAGTGAGGCAAGTTGAGAACCAAATGCAGAAGTTCCACGGGATCAATGTTCCTGGCTGAGGCAAGCCACTGTCACCAGTGGTGCAGGCACTGGTGAAGTGGCTGAGGGAGGGCATCAAGAAATGGCTGGATCCATTGCAATCTACATGCTGGTGGTTATGTGTGACCTGAGGGTGAAGGGGACCCATGTGTACTGGCAGCCCCCAAATTCTCAATCACTGGATGGGAATCTGGGAGGGAGAAGGGCACCGGTGGGGGATGTGGAAGATGGGGATACATTTTCCCATGCCAGCACTATGAGCAGCAGCCAGTCTCCTCTATGACAGCCACTGCCAATGTGGGCCAAGGGCACGGCTTCAATGGTGGGGTCCAAAAGCACCAGACCCAGGCCTCAAGCAGGTAGCAGGGAGGTCTCATTGGCTACCAATCTCAGCAGAGACATGGAGCCTCTGGACTATGACCCCTTGGCCTATTGGGCAACACACAGCCAGATGTGGCAGGATCTGGCCATGGTTGCCCAGGAACACCTGTCCTGTCCACTGACCAGTGTTCCAAGTGACAGGGTGTTCAGAGTTGCTGGGGATGTAGTGACACCCCATCGCACCTCCTTGTATCTGTTTTTGGTGGAGCAGCTAATGTTCTTCAAGGTGAACCTCCTGCTGCTGGGGTGTCCTGATCTCCACATGAAGATAGAGTGAGTGCCACTCTCCTCGCTCCATCTGCACCTGTTTTCTTTTAAAATGTTTTTTAAACCATTTAATGTCCCACTCTCAGAGCTGCAGGCAGCACTCACTGCATCACCAGCTAGCAGGGGAAGAACATCTCCCTGCTGAGCTCCCATGCCAGGATGAACTTAGAGGTGTGGGCTGGGGCTACGGGGAAGGAGGAGGCCCCAGGTGCTGGGAATGACCTAAAACCGCACCCTGCCAGGGTTGGGAGGCCTGGTGGGACTGCCAGTGGCGTGGCAACCCCCAAGAAATGCCAGGACTGAGGACCTCCCTGGTGAAAGGCAGGTAGGAGGCACCTTATAACCTCCAGCCACCACATGCATGCACAGTCCTGGCTAGGGAAAGCCCAGACCTGTAAGATCTTTGAGAGGCCTGAGGCTTGCTGGTTTCAGTTGAGTTGTGAGGCTCCAGGTGAGCTTAGCTGCCTGAGATGCCATCTGCAAGGCATGAGCTTTCGGATTTAAAACCTTTGTCAGGCTGAGGAAGCACCTGTAGTTTCTGTGTGTGCTCTTCCTGGATGGAAGGAATAGTAAAGAAGCCAGAGGCTGGCATGCAATGCAAGCAAGAAAGCCAGTCAGTGAAAATGTAAACTGAGGTGTCAGGGGGTGAGTGTGACAGGCTGGGGTAAGGGGGATTTAGCAGGTAAAAGTGGAGAGGTACCTGCTACCTGGGGAGTCAGATGTCAAGCAGGTTGTAGTGTGTCATAAATCCAATGTCTATACTGAGTCCATGAGTTTCTGTATCTAGGACATTGATGAAGTGAAGTTCATAGGCCCGTCTGTGAAAAGTGGTTTATAAATTCCCTTTGAGGATCAGGACTGAGAGATTGGAGACAGAGTGGTATTCTTGTGAGAAATGTGCCCCCACAGGTAGTTGGTTATTTTTGTCTGTAATAGCTTCTACTGTGCAGTTTGTGGGGGTCCTGGAGATAGGTTAGCAGGTTTTGCATTTCTTGTCATGGCATGCTCTGGATTCATTTGGTGTGTTTTGGACTGTAGGAAGTTGGTTTCTGGTAATGAGGTTAGCAAGGTTCAGTTCCTCTTTGAATTTACAAACCACTTTTCACAGTCAGGCAGTTTTGTGATTCCCCATGTAACCCTGGTACACCCAAGGGTGTGCCCTATTCTTAACTGGATGGGATGGGTAGGCAGGAGGGGATGCTATGAGAGGGATGCCAGAATTACAAGCAGATCCCTCTTTCTTCTATAAAGTTAGCCCAAGCCCAAAGTTCTTAACTATATACAATTTATTGAGTTATAAT